GTCTTGAATATCCTGAATGTGAGGTTTTTGAAGCTTGCTCAACTCCAGTAGTTATAATGTCATGTTTTTACAGATAATCCTCATAGCGATCCTGTGAGTTAGATACTTTTATCCCAATTTGAAAAAGTGAAAAGTGAATTCAAAGGAGTTCTGCACCTGCCCTATCATAAATTTTACCTATTTATTCATACTAAATGCTTCAGGCACAATTGGTCAGAAGAAAAATCTATCTGGCTATGGTTTATGATACTTTATGATTGGACTAAACAAATGAATTAAAAAACATCTCCAAGTCTGTAGAGTGTTCAAGGTAGTATGATGAGGAACAAAAAGGCACTATTATAAAAACAAAGACAGGTTTAAAACAAAAACAAAGATTTAGCAGAGATGGGAATGATTTAAAGACACCCCTAAATACTACAATAGCATAAAATTATCAAATAATGAATGAGGAACTAGGCAGAGAAAGATAAGTTCAATTATAAATTGATTCTTTATGTCATAACAAAACTTCAAGGCCCAGGATTTAGCTCAGTGGTGCTGCTGCCTGCCTCACAACCACAAGGTCCTCAGTTCTATCCCCGGTACCAAAAAAACCCCCCCAAAACCCCCAAAAAACAACAAAAAAAGACATCAAATAGAAATACAAGACTGACAATCTAGAAAAGTATCAATAATTCACTTTTGGATAAACTGAGTTGTTATTATGTACCAGGTATTGTTCATAAGGTACCGAGGACAGAAAAGAAAACTTGTCATCCTTTTATTAGAGCTTACATTCTACAACAAGAGACAGTCAACTGATGAATCATTTGATGGCAGGTAGTTAAGTGCTATAAAGAAAATTAAAATGGTAAAAAGAAGCAATGATAGGTAAAGATGGACTTTTTTAAAAAATAGGAGGTAACTAGGGAAAGCCTCTGTAGAAAATGGCAAGACCTTAAAAATGCCTGGGGCAGCAGTAGTAACCTAGGCAAAGAAAATGGTGTAAGATAGCTTCAAAGGCAGAAATGAGCATGCAGTGTCCAAGAAGCATAGCATGACAAAGACAGAGTCAGGAAATCATAATCACAACAGGGACCCAGAAGGGGTCAGGCTGTGGGTCACAATGAAGATCTACATTTCCCTCTAAGTGGTATGGGAAGCTACCCAGTGGAGGTTCTGAGGAGGTAAGTGACAATATCTAACATTGTTTAAAGTAGTGCTAGCTTTTATAAATGATTGTAGGCAGTAGAGTGACTACCACAAAGCTCTTGACAGAGTCTCTGAAAGAGATCACAGTGACTAAGTATGATAATACTGCTGAGGTAGACAGAAGTGACGAGTTTCTGGATATATTTTTTAAGTAGACCCCCAAAGATCTTGCTGATAAAATGGATATGGAATGTGAAGGAAACAATCAATGATGAATTCTGGACATCAGAAATGAGTGGCAGGAAATAGTGATGCCACTATCTACTGAGATAAGCAAGGATGAAATAATGAGAAGGGCCAGGGATTTAGCTCAGTGGTTTCGCCGCCTGCTGTGCAAGTACAAGGACCGGAGTTCGATCCCCGGTACCGAAAAAAAAAAAAAAAAAGGAAATGAAAGAATGAGAAAGTCTGGGGAAAGAAAACTAAGAACTGAGTTTTTGACATGTTTGTTTTTAGACTCCTTTCAGAACCCAAGTGGAGATGCTCGGTGTATAGATACCTAAATCTGAACTCAGGCTGAGATTAAGTTCATAAATTTGGGAGTCACCTGAGTGCTCAAGGTACTTAAAGCTCAGGGATTGGATGAGGTTTTTTAAAATCTTCTATAAATAAAAATGCAGAAATTTTTCTAAGTGCTTCACAAACACCAACTCAACTCTAACAACTCTGTAAGTTAACAATTATTATTCCATATTCCATTATTCCATATTCCATAATAAAGAGAAGAAAACAGAGGCAGAGAATATTTAAGCAGCAAGCCCAAAGTCTGGTAACAAACCTGAGGTTTGAAGCTCTGGGGTCTGAATTCTTAACACTAAGGTAAGTTTCCTTCCAAGGTGCCAAAAGAAAAATTGTAAAAGGAGAAAAGGATCAAGAACTGACCCTCGTGGCATTCAACATTTGGATACTGCAAAAAGGAGAAGCAATAAAGGCTAAAAAGGAGTTAAGCAGAAATATAATGTCCAGAATGAAATGCATTTATTCATTAAGTTTCCTGAGTGCTTATTAGCACCTGGCACTGGTCTGCATGCTAGGGATACAGTAGAAAACAAATCAAAAATATGTCCTCACAGAGCTCACATTTTAGTGATAGGTTCTGGCATTTCTTCAAGAAAAAGGCTATCACCAGTACTTTGCCTCAATATAGGAAGTTATATTACATAAAACAGCCCATTTCTGATTCACAGTTTCAGTGTATAAATAAGGCTGAAAACAATTTTAAAAGAGTATAACTGTATGCAATTGTAAAGTGATTGATAACTGCATTAAATGAACTGGCTGGGGTTATTTAACATAACTGACACATTGGTGGACAAGGTGAGAAGGAACAGTTAAATGTATTCTGTAGTCTATATACTGTATCCTACATGCTATATACTAAAAAACCTGAGCATGAGAATCTACTGGTCTCTGCCCAAGGATTACTAACCGGGGATAACTAAAGGCTCTTCTTAGATAAACTTCTTGTGATATTTCAATACATGGATCATGAGAAGAGAACTGATCCAGATACAAAACTTGACTAACTTTAAAAAGTAAGCTTTCCTAGAGCAAAACAATGACTCTGAATTGAAGAAGTTTACTGTCCAGCAGGTTCAGTCCACACATTCTAAATTCAACAAATACAAAATACCTACCAGGTAACAACCACCAAAATAATTACGGCACAAAATTATCTAACTGTAATGCTAAAGTATTTGGTAAATACTAAAATCATTTGCAGAAATTTGGAAAAAGGTATAAATTACAGTGGACTAGAATAGTCTTCTCAACCAGGAGCTATTTTGATGATACCCCAAGGGACATTTCCTAATGCCTGGAGACTTTAGATCATGACTGGCAGTGGGGTGCCAACTGGAATACAGTGAGTAAAGGCCAATGATGAGGTGAAACACCCTACACTGCATAGGACAGATTCCCCAAAAGATATTTATCTAGTCTAAAAGGTCAGAACCCTTCCTACTGAGAAACCCTAGGCTACAGTAATCAGGAAATAGTTCAGGTAAAACAAGTTGGCTCTAAATTGGAATTAAAACATGAAGATATGCAGATAAAAGAACAAAAACAAAAGCACATAGGCAAAAAGGAGCCTGTGTTCAAACTGGGTGGTGTACGGGCAAGAAACAGGTTTAGCATTAGGAAGTTTATCTGAATCCAATGCATATGTGTGCTGAAAAAAAATCAAAGCATGTTCTGGGTTCAATCTCTAGCACCACAAAAACAAATTAACATGTCAATAGGATATAAAGGTGATTCTGGCTCATTGACAGTTCATTATATAGGATCATTAAAGTTAGACAAAGGTGCTAGAAACAGAAGAAGGGAGTATTATTTTATTTTAAGCATTTGTCCTACAGTTGATGTAATAAGTTGGAAAACTGCTTGACAGCAGAGAGATCTTGCTCATCATTGTATCTCTTATGTGAATGAGTACTGTGTTCTGTAAATAATGAGTCAAATGCCTATTAAATGCAATTTTCCAATTCCTTATTTATTTAGAATTATCAGTGATCTCTAAAGTTCCATCCACCACTAAGATTCAGGCCATTTATTTAAACTGAGGGAAAAAAAGCTAGCATCTAGTAATTATACAAAGGCATTGTATAGGCTCTACACATACTATTTCATTTAATTACAGAAGCATGTGTTTTCCCAATTAAAGATGAGGACACTGGAACTCAAAGAATTTAACTTGCCTCTTTACCTCTGATTTTTACTGTTAGCTAGAAAGTGGCAGAAAGTTAGCTAGAAACCGTTTTGTAGTCTTAACGCAAATCTCCAAGCTTCAGTGACATGCGGTAAGGAAGAGTCCAAAGAGCAAAATTCAAAATTCACCTTTCATAATCAAAACAAAGTATGTATAAAGTAACTCCATACGGTTATCTTTATATTCCTTTACTAAAGTAATCATTAAATTCTACTTTACAGGACTTGAATATGGTAGTTGTGCCTTGCTTCCATTCCATACTTGTGTACCAAGATAGTTCCTAAGTACATTCAAAGGACCCCAAAATTCTCTACCCAGAAATTCAACCCTAATTATTATCTTCAGGCCAAAAAAATGTAATAAGTAAACAAAACATAGCTTGTTGAATCGGCTTGAAACATAGCTTGATATTGATCATATCTAATAGCAATAATTCGAGAATCAATAAAAATGTAGCATTTCAGATGCCTTTCCAGATTCCAAGTTCTTCTGAACACTTCTCGTGTAAAGACCCACCCCGAGAAAGGCATCCCAAAGGCTCGGCTCTTCAATTCAATTTCCCTCATTCCCACATATTTCATCTTCGTCTCTCCCAATATCTGACTGTCTACTCTTCATCAGAGCTCTTTCTTCCAGGGACCACTAAAAAGGATTTTTTTTCATCCCTCAAAGAAGCTTATCTGAACATTCTGCTAGTTTCACGTGCTTGACATCTGGCCACAGAAACAGTTCTGCCACAGGGTTTATAATCCCACTCTATCTGAGACACGCTTCAGCCTAGGCTGTGCTTCCAGAAGCAAAGTCGCAGCACCAGATGCCACACCAGCTGCTCCTCCAAGGCCCCTAACCCCAACCTCTTAAGCAGCTCCTTCGAAACCCAGGGTCCTGGCTCAAAGGGCCATTTCTGAGGTTCTCTGAGTCCCATTTCTTTCATAGGGGATGCGCCAAGCTCTCAACCTCGCCGCAGCTCTTAAAGAAAGAATCTCAGGAAAGGGGGAAAGCTTGGCCGTGACTCTGGGGACCAGAATGTACGCAGGGGGCGCGCGGAATGGACTCGCGGTCCAGTGGGGAATGGACAGCGAGCGGTAATGACACTCACCAACGTCCTGGTCGAAAGGATTGGTGGCAAAGAGAGGCATCTCCACTGACTGTCGAGGTGTCCGCAGGGACCCCCCTTGGCACGACCGGAGTCAGGGTGCGGCGTAAGAAGGAAGACCCCTCAGGCAAAACCAGCAAGAGACCGGTCGCACCTGGTCCGCGACAGCTCCACCTCTCATCCACCCCCAGCAACCGCGGGAGCAGCGGCGGTGGCGGCGGCAACAGCAAAGCAGCTTGGTAGGCCCCCGCGCGGAGCATGTCGGGAAGCTAGGCGCCCTCGGCTCTGCCTGCCCCGAATCTGTCCAGAATCAGCCCCACCAGACCAGATCCACCCAAGTGACACCCTCGGCCTAGCTAGTCTTTGGATAACTCACACAAAAGAGTAAGATTCATAGCTGTATTTTCTGCTTTTTCCTTGGCCAAAAGGTTCCGGAGGACAGGGTCCTCCAGGCGCACCGAGGACGACTAACCACCCCAGGAGTGAATCAGAGACTGAGGAAAAAGAAAGAGGGTCGAGTTAGAGTCCGCGAGATTTTTTTTGTTCTCCCCCAGCCCCAAATTTGGTCTTGTGTCGAACACTGTAGTCCCGCGAAGGGTGTGAGAACTCCTTTGGGTAATCTAAGTAAAGAGACTATCAGTTTAACCCGCTGTGTGAGGTGACCAGAACTTGGCTGATGAAGTCATGTGAGCTGAAGGATTGGCTGGCATCCCTGAAGAGGGGAGTGTCAGGGCGCTGGCACCTTCCCGGGAGCCCCCGAGCGCCCGGCTTCCAGGCTGCGGAAAACTCTTCTACTGGGGCGTCGGCGCCGCCTGACTAAGCGTGCAGTCACCAAGCAGCTGATGAAGAGAAACGGACCTTTCACAGCCCCAGACAGCCTTCTGAAACTGAGCAACAGAAAAAAGGAAAGCTGAAAAACTGAAGTTAGAAATTGACTCATGATTGCCGGCAACTTCAAATATGAATTTATAGTGTGTGTGTGACAAAAATCATCCACTATCGTGGAGAAAGTGGAAGGAGCTTCTACTAGATTTTGCGTCGCACTTGCAAAGGACTTAGTAAGGTCATTTTGCACGTAATTAGAAATTATGTAAATTTACCTAATTCACAACTCAGAAGTAGCATGGAAACAAATGCTGGTGTGGCAACAAGAAGATTAGTATCATAGTATAACAAGCCATTATTACAAAAGCGCGTTTAAAATGAAGTTCCACTTCCAAAAGTGAAAATGTCAAAGTAGCAGATGTTTTTCATCATTCAAAGTAACAGAATCAGGGATGTAGGCAACTGTACATTCACATACCGTTGGTTGAGTGTAAGTTAACAACTTTCTTAAGGGAAATATTTGGAAGCCTGTAACAAGCTTTTAAAAATGTGAATACTTTTGGACTCAGCAGGTCTATTTATTTTTGAAATTTATCATTCGAAAACATGAGCAAAAGATACGTGGCAGTATCGTTTATAATACCAAAGTATTGTTAACCTCTAAAATGTCAAACATTAAAAATTTGGAGAAATTGCTTCACTTTTTGGTGTGTTTCCTTACCTCTAAGAAACAAGAATAATAAGGCTGTGAGGATGAAATGGATTAATACAAGCAAAGCCCTGTAACGGTGCCTGTTATGTTGTAAGCACTAAAAATAAATGTAAACCATCATTAAAATTAGTATTGGTAAAAGAAGTTCTGGTGCACACGATGTAAAAATTATATAGCCATTGAAGGTGATACTGTAGCTCTGTATTTACATAGACATCTGAATATATGATTTTTTAAAAGTTAACCATGTAAAATTACAAATACATATTTGAAAGTCTGCAAGGAATACACAAGAATATTATAACATGATTATCTCCAAATAGATTTGAATGATGCTTTTGTTCTTCATGCATTTTATATTTTTAATGGCAAGCATGTATTTCTTCTACAAGCAGAAAAACATGTTACAATAATGCAAAACAATGTGATTTATTAGTACCACCAAGTTTCTTGACGTTTTGAAGGGCCAATATTAAAAGCTTGCTTGTATTTCATTATAACATATAAAAATTTTCCAAACTATTAGTATTGATACAGGAATCAGCATTGTCTTTCAAAAATCTTTTCTTGATTACTAGGCTGACAGAATCATGTAACAACTTCTCCACCTCAATTTACAAAGCAATGTCTTGGGTACATTATCATAATTTCCCCATCTTAGAACCAAGTATTTATGAAAATGTATCTGGACATGCTTTCTACTCTGGTAATGAGACTGAATGTTCTATTCCCAGCAATAAACTAGTGAACAAATTGTCCTAGCCTTTATTATCAATACATGAACATTGAAGATAACATATATTAGCACTGATAAACCTTACCCATGGTATTCTGACCTAGAAGAACAACATTAGCTATTGAGGAGTCTTCGTAATTAATATGCTATAAAAATAAAGTTTCAAAATACAAAATTTATATTTGACAAAAGCCACATACAAAAAACAAAAGTCTGTTTTTTGAGCTTAACTTCCCTTTGAAATACTGGAACTACAAGATTTTCACTTGTTACAGACAAAGAAAATTATTAAATTCATATCAAAGTAGTTTTTAAACATTTGAGAGACTCAGTTTCACATTAAATGTTTCTGCTCTATGTTCAATAAATTTGGCAGCTATAAAATATCCCTTTATTCTCAATATGACTGAAAATTTTCCCACATTAAAAATAAAGATACTGACATACAAATGGAGTTACTACAGGGAAACCATAATAACTTTAATAACCTATAATTTTAAGGCTCCAGAAAAGGAATATCTCTGAAAGGTCATTAACCATTTAGTAATTCCAATTCAGTGAGAATGATTAGTATTTTTCGAATTCAGCCCTTCCTCTCCAGCCTCATTTCATCTCTATCGTCTCTTAAGTGAATTACAATAATCCCCCTTCTCCCTAGGACCTGAGGTTGACTGTGGTCCAAAAATATTGAATGAAAAATTCCAACAAATGAGCAACTGTTAAATTGCATGGTACTCTGAGTAGCATTGTGAAATTTCCCATCATTCTGTTCCGTTTGGCATAGGATGTGAGGCATCCCTTTGTTCAGTGTTCCATATGGTATATGCTACCTCCCATTAGTCACTTAGCCATTTTAGTTATCAGATTGACCTTATTAATGTAATTTTGTTATAGTATATTGTGATAATTGTTCTCTTTTACGATTAGTTATTGTTAGTGATTTCTTGCTATGTGGAACTTATAGATTAAACTTTAAATTAAATTTTATTAATTAAACTTTATTCTAGCTATGTATGTGTAGGAAAAAACATAGAATATATTGGGTTCAGTGCTATCCAATTTCAGGCATTCATTAGAGGTCTTGGAACTGTGTATAAAGGGGGCAGGGAAAAGACTACTGTATTACATTCACCTAATATTTTTTCTACTTTCTTACTGCTATGGAATAAACTGTATCCACGTAAAATTGCTATATTGAAGCCCCAACACCAACAGGATGGTAGTTTGTAGATGTAGGCTTTGAAAGTGAGATTTAGATGAGGTTGTGGAGCATGGGCCCTTGTAATGGGATTAGTGTCCTTATCGTAAGAGGCACCATATTGCTTACCCTCTCTTTTCTGCACATGAAGACACAATAAAAAGGTAGTTGTTGACAAGCAAGTAGGGGAATCCTCACCAGAACCTGACTATACTGACACACTGATCTCAGACATCTAACCTCCAGAACTGTGAGAAAATTAATGTATGCTGCGTAAATCACTCACACTATGGTATTTTTGTTAGGGCAGCCCATGCTAACTAATACACCTGTTTATCTTAAAACTATTCTCTACTGGCAGAATGATTTTTCCAACACACAGATATGATTATATAATTCCTTTAAGATGCTTATATGTTTCTTCTGCCATTTACTCAATGAAAATTTATTAACACTTTATGTTTGCCAGGCACCATCCTATATACTGGAAACATCATAGGGATAAATGCTTTATGTGACTTAATGATTTTTGGAGAGTAACCTATTGGGCAGGAAGTCATTAATTAAATTAATTTCTTTATTACAGATTCAGAGAGTCTCCAGCGTTCAATATTAATGCCTAATTCTTTAATGTTACATCCATATAAAGTAGATGGTTAGTTCCTCATCTTTTCAGGTTATTTTTACTTCCTAACTTATTAAACTACCAGCATCCATCCAAATATCCCTATACTTTCTATGTCTTCAAACAAGCAACTCTTTAAGCTTATTCTATTTACATGGATCCTAGACCTTCTCTATATCTGCACTCAGACTTCACTTCCCAAAAGCATTTCCTAATTCAGTACCTGACCAGTACTGGGCACATAATAAATATTTGTTAATGAATTAGTTAATTGGCTACCTCTATCATAGCACTTAATGGTATGATATTTGTTCCAGATATTGATTACTACATAAAAAACCCCAAACCCAGCGTCATAGAGCAAAAACAATCATTTCTTTTGCTTATAAATCAGAAATGTGGTCAGAGCTCAGCAGGAACAGCAAGCCTCTTTTCCACATTGTGTCAGCAGAGGAGCTCAAGGGCCAGAATGACTCACTCTGGGAAAGGAGTACAGTATCACTGCAGTCATATTCTGTTGGACAGGTAGTCACAGTGTCTGTATGGAAAGGGAGAGGGGATAAAATTCACCTCTTGGTAGAAAGAGTTTTAAGGAATTTGGGGGTCCATAATTAAATGCTACTACAATATTGCAATGTTTTACTTGTTTATATAAGCATTGGTTTTTAAATCATTTAATATCTACATTTATGGACTCTGTACAGTAAGTGTTCCATAAATGTGTGTTAAATGCAGTAAATAAAATACATTATAATTAAAATGGCATACTTTCATCACTCCTTGTAGAAGGTGATAGGATCTGGTCTTATCTTGTCACCATAAGCAAATAGAACACTAGACAAAAATATAAGGAACAAATTATTCCCAACATGAGATATGAGACAGCAGTGGACTATCAACCCAAGGAGAAAGGAAATATGCAATGAGTCCTATGATTGCCAACAGTTTTTTGCCCAGAATCAGTTTCTGACTATGACATAGAGACAGTGAATCCAAAGAATGCCAAAACGTTTTACTGAATTAAAGAGAAAAAAACTAGAATTTGGGGAGACCAAGAGACCAGAATTTTAAGGAGAGACTATTAAGAGGATGCTGTGTGGAGAAAAGCTCGAGAAATCTGCACAGAAATCTTGATGGTTTGGCTATATGCTGATCGAGGCATGGATAGGGAACAAGCTCTACAAGTCTAGGGGAAGAACTATTACCAGGGAACCCAAACTGAAAAATCCCAAAATTTCATACTAGTCTAGGAATCATTTCAGTTCCCAAAGCCAGAGGGAAGAGTCCTAATTGAATATACTGAGTGTCAAGTAAATACTCCAAAAGAGTAATGTCTCAGTAATGGGGAGTAGCCTGAGAAATAAGGCTACTCTTACAAAGCTTAAAAAGTAACTCTCAAAAGAATCAAGCTGAGCAACACATGTGATTAAGGTAAAGCAAAACAAGAAACTCTTAAAAGGAATACCCCTTCCCTGTGTTAGTTTTTGGTTACTATAATAAATACTGAGGTAACCAACTTATAAAGAAAAACTAGGATTTTTGGCTCACAGTTCAGAAGTTTCAGTCAATAATCAATTGGCCCCATTGTTTCATGCAAGGCAGCACATAAGGGCAGGAGTACAGGGGACAAAACCATTCACTCATGGCCAGAAAGTAAAGAGAGGAAGAGGAAGGGGTGGGGTCCCATAATCCTGTTCAAGGCCATGCCCCCAGTGACCTAAAGACCTCCCGCTAGGCTCCACCTCTTAAAATTCTCATCCATTCCCCATGGTGCCAAGCTGGGGACCAAGTTTTAAATACATAGGATTTTGGCAGGACACTTATGATCTAATCTGTTGCACCCCCCCCAGAAAAATTGATCATTCAAAAATGTAAAGTTCTACAATGGCCAACTCCAATAAAAAATTAGCAGGCATATGAAGGGTCAGGAAAATGTGACCAGTAAACTATACACTGAGAGATGTTTAAACACACCCCTCAAAATTTCTCCAGGCAAAAGGAGTAAGACGTCACTTAGAAATTTGAATCCATATGAAGAAAAAAATAATAGAACAATCAAAATCAACAAAAGAAATGATGCCAAGACACAGTATGATCAAATTGCTGAAAATCAGTAAGAAAGACAGAATCTTAAAAGATTTTAAAAATAAAAAGACATACTATGCAGAGGAATGAAGATAAGAATTACAGTAGACCAACAATAAAACTATACAAAATTTTTTTAAAACAATAAAACACTAAAGCAACACTCATATTCTGTAAAATTAATATGGACTAATGAAAGTAAAGTAAAATGCAACTATACATTTAAAGTCCTAAAATTTAAAAACTGTCGTTATAGCATTCCACAATAGCAAAAATATCTTTTGAAAATAAAGGTGAAGGCTGAGATGCTAGCTTAGTGGTAAAGTACTTGACCAGCATG